GCCTGATCGGGGAACTAAGATCCCACAAGCCATGTGGTGTGGCCAAAAGAAAAAAAAAAGAATGAAAAAGGAAAACAAATTATGGTTACCAAAGGGGAATGGTGGTGGGGAGGGATAAATTAGGAGTTTGGGAGTAACATATACACTCTACTATATATAAAATAGATCAACAACAAGGACCTACTGTGTAGCACAGGAAACTATACTCAATATTTGGTAAGAACCTATATGAGAAAAAAATCTGGAAAAGAATACATATATATATATATATATATATATATACACAACTAAATCACTTTGCTGTATGCCTGAAACTAACACAACATTGTAAATCAACTATACTTCAATTAAAAAATTAATTAAAGAAAAAATGCCACTAATAAAAAAAGTTATTTCCAAATCAGTCAGAGGCCACTTAAGTCAATTCCAACTATATTTATTTCAATAAAATAAGGGAAGGTGGAAGAAAATTACGTTAAGTTTTTATAACGAAATTTGACCAGTAAATTAATAAATCACTGTTGAACCAAAAGTCAAAGGTGACAGCAAATAGATATTTTTTAAAATAATAGCATCAACCACAAGCATATGAAACAAAACTAGGATGTAGCTTGAATCAGTCATGCATCCCTGAGTCATAATCAAATCAAATAAAGCAAGCAATGTTGTAGGGTTCAATTATTTTACCATAATAAAGGTTTTTTTTTTTTTTTTTGCGGTACATGGGCCTCTCACTGCTGTGGCCTCTCCCACTGTGGAGCATAGGCTCCAGACGCACAGGCTCAGCGGCCATGGCTCACGGGCCCAGCCACTCCGTGGCATGTGGGATCTTCCCGGACCGGGGAACGAACCCGTGTCCCCTGCAACGGCAGGCGGACTCTCAACCACTGCGCCACCAGGGAAGCCCCATAATAAAGGTTTTAATTCCCTTGTCAAAAAAAAATCTAACTCTAATAAAAAGCAGAATAAAAAATGGTAAAACTGAGTACTCAAGATTTTTCCAGTTCTCTGTGTTTCTGATCATTAATGAGACAACTGATATTGAAGAATTCCTGCCTCTCTGAAGTCAGTTATTCAAATCTATTTGTGGTTTTAATGCTGTGTTAATATGAATCTAATTCCCAACCCTTCCTTTCTTTACATTTCTTTGAAGATTTTTAAAATAGTGTAATATTCTACACGTACATAAATGTATAGCTTAATGAATTGTTATAAAATGAATATCTATGTAACCAGCATTAAAAGTCAGGAAATACAATCTCAAAGGCACTCTTCCCTAAAAATCTCCACCCTGCGCTGCCCATCAGAACTGACCACAATCCTAACTTTATGAGAATCACTACTTTGGTTTTGTTTTCATAGTTTTCTTTACTAAGTATGCATCCATAAACATAATACAGTTTAATTTTGCCTTTATAAATATTTATATACAAAATTATTTGGTTTTTTTAAACTCAATATTATCAATATATTTTTAAGTTGCCTCTGTATCATTGCACACAGCTGTGTTTCATTCATTTTCGCTATTGTATAGTAGGTCAGTATACGGAATACTACAGTTTAATTAACTATTCTATTGTTGATGGACATTTCAGTTATTTCCAGTTTGGGTGCCCAGAAGCACACACAGCTGTGGGGTAAATACCTAAAGGTGAAATTGCTGAACCATAGGGTGTACACATTCTAGCTAACGTCAAGCCATTTTCCAAAGTGTCTGCAAGGCCTCACACTCCCGTCTGCAGTATATGGGGGGGGGGGTCTTTGCTCTCCCTCCTCTCCAACCCTGGGCGCTGTCAGATATTTTAACGCATGCCCAACTGGTGAGTATGGAGCTATATCCACGGTGGTCTTAATTTATCCGCTTCTGATTATTAACGAATTAAGCACCTTTTCAATCAACAACAGACAGTTATTGGCCACTGGGTTTCTTTTGGGACATTCCTGTTCAAGTCATTTGCCCATTCTTTAACTGGATTCTTTGCCTTCCTAACTTGTTCTTCACGTTTCCTAGCAGTATGTGTTGCAAATATCTCCTCCCACTCGGTGCCCTGTCTTTCCTTGCATTACAACTTTGGAAAAGCCAGTGTGACCTGCGAGCAGCTTCTTCGAGAGCTCCCGGGGTCCTGGGAACTCTCCCCTGGCCATCTTCATCACAACCGTTCCCACCGTCTCCACCAGGACAAGACAGGACACCGAGTGATAGGGAGGCTGGAGCCTGGACCGCACCGGCCCCGCCCCCCGGTGCGGCCCCACCCACGGCCGTGCTGGCCGAGCCGCGCGGGGTGGGTCCTGTTGGCCCCGGTCTCCAGGGCAGCGCCGGGCGACGCGGGCCGGGACTGGGAGGCGCCGGGCAGCCGGGCTGCGGAGGCGCTGAGGATGAGGGCCCGCCGGGGTCGCGGCAGCCAGGAGCGCCGGGCAGGTGACGGGCGGGGTGGGCGGTGCGCCAGAGGAGGGGATTGGGAGGGGTGGGACTCGGAGTGGGGACGGCAGGAAACCTCTCGAGGAAACTGGATCTGGACGGGGCGAACTCAAAGGAGCCCGCGCCGGGGAGCACTTGGGACCCAGGCGGGAAGGGCAGACGGTGGCCGAGGCAGGGACGGGGCCCAGGTGGCCGGGATCTGGAAAGACTTTGGCGCCCAGACTCCCAGAACAGCCCTAGCGTGGGTTGATTAGACCGGTCCAGGGCATCAGACCCACCGGACCCATCACTTTCTGGGCCTTAAAATGCTCCTGGTTGCCCAGTCTTGTCCATCGGAGAAAAGAGGGGTGGAGAAAATAAACCCAACTCCCCTTTGGGCAGCTTCGGGCTTGTACCAAAACAGGGCACCTTTTCCTCTACCACTCATCTTGGTAGGTGAGTCCTTAAAGCAGGGCTCCTTTTCACCTACAGAAGGAAATGTGTTTCTCCCAGTACTGATGGGCTAGGCCCAAGGGCTTGAAGGGACCCCTAGGGAATTAGCCGTTTCTTAGTGCCACCGGTTTATCCCTGTCTGTCTTATTTAGGAGATGTGGCAGCCCCTCTTGGTCAGAAATTTCAGTGAGAAACTTTGTGCCACTAGGCAGCCACATTCGCTACATTTAAAAGGCCCTCTTTTAATTTATTTCAGCTATCAGCTTTTCCTACTTTAATCCCATGCTTTCATAAAATCACACCTTCCACAGACGACCCAACTTGGATGGTATCTGCCTTTGCTCTCTTCATAATCTCCCAAACTTCATTAATGACAAAAATTACATCTTCTTCTATGGACATTTTTAATTGATTAACTCCAAGAAATCCTAGTCCATGTATTTAAAACAGAAATTGAAGGGACTGAATTATTTCATGAAGGAGCAATTCCAAATTGAAATATAATGATTATTTTAAGTTTTCTTTAAGATCCCAAGTACAGTGACTTGAACTCTTAAAGTAAGACTGGTGTTTATTACAAACTGTTTCAGTTAAAATGTGTTAGTATTTGAGGGATTTGACACTTTCTAAAAATATCCTAAAAGCAACAGTTGATCTGCTTATCAAAATTAAAATAATACGGTAGAATGAAATTCGTATTTTTAAAATAAGAGAATTAATACAGCAAACTGGTCTGTGCAGTTTGACAATAATATGTTAGTCTACCAACAGGGGGAACTTTGAATTAAAAAGAAAACCATAGATATTTAAATATCAGATGTATTTAAGTATGAATGTTACCTTTGGTCTGTTTTGTTTGTTAAGGTGCTTTCCTCCAAGGAGTTGAGGATGTTCCTTGGAAATATTAGCAACAAGGTCAACTAGGACTAGCAAGAAGGTCGTGTTATTTAATTAAAGAGAGGATTTGCCCAAAGAACAAGAGAAAGCCGTTGAAACAAATTTTACAGTAATCTCTGATGAGAAAGGTTGTTTCTGTTACCTGACCTACAGAAAAACAACAACAACAACAAAAAAAACAGCATAAAGGCAGTGAGATGGAAGACAGAGCAAATACAAATGCCAAGTAGAGATGAAAGGAAGCACGTCCAAAAACATCATTTCCTTTCAATCCTATCTGAACTCAAAGCATCCTTTCCGTAAACCATCTCGTGGGTCTTTATGACAGCCCTTTGAGACAGGGAGGGCTCACTTGGAATCATACTCTTAAGCTAGTTACAAGGGACCCGAGCTGTTATTCAGGCCAATCTTTCACCCACCCAGCATTCCCCAGAACTGCATTCCATTCAGGTAGGTGGACACCCAGCCTCTGCTATGAATCACTGAATGGCAGAATTCACAAGGCCACCAAATCTTTTGTTGAACAGTTTTAATCGTTATCATGGGTTTTTTGTTTTTTCCTCTGAGCTGAGGTTGATCTCTATGTAATGTCCACCTAAATTACACATTCCTACCTAACAGCAATCTGGGTATCAAAAAATCTTCCAAATGATAGAGTCAGCCAATATAGGTTTAGGAGCAAAACAGCTTCCATCAGTTTTACAGTTCCAACTGTGGAAACCATACTCTACTTCTCTCCCCCTCCTTTATTTTCCAAAAGGCAGACCCTGAACCTGTTTTACTCTACTGAACATGGCATATTTATATCAGTGCCCTGGGTCTTGGAAATAAGGCATTGAAGTACTGTCCCTAATTAGCCATTTCGCTTTGTCCGGGCTTATCTGTAACAGGCCCTTGGAAGCTCAAAAAAGGAATCCAGTCATTTAATTTTCTCAATAAAGCTGCATTTGATTACTCAGACTGTTTATGAGCTCTACATCAGATGTGTTTCTGTAGAGAGAAAAACATAATAGTTTTTCCAATAGACCTTTCTCATACACACAAAAGGGGGCATACAAAAGCCTGCAGGTAATAACAAGTTTCTCTTATTTAATTTTTTGATTAACATTGGAATTAAAGAGATTTCAGTAGTCACAGAGTAACATAAATATAATTTTTTTAGGCAAATTCTTTTGCGAACCACGACTTTAAACATTCAGCCAGCTGCTGCCATCCACAAGAGCATCCCTGTTCATTTTTGTATTTTCTCAAGATGATTCATCGTAAATTAATTCCCAAGCGCTCTATTCTGTCTCCTGTTCATCACACCAACTTAAAGGTCCAGTCCACAGAGCCACCTTTTAAGAAAGAAGACTTACATTTGATTTCAAGAGACTCCTTGGAATCTGATTCAGAAAGCGTCACTCAAGAGATCAAGTCCCAGTCTAAACTTGAAGACCAAATTCAGGACAACGACATGGAGCCTGACAGCTTAGAGGAGGAGAACTTGAGTGAGACGGAAGAGGAAGCAAGCAGAAAAGCAGCTCAGAGAAACCTCCATACCCAAGATGCTGGTGCGAATAACAGGTAAGGAATTGGCTTGTGTCAGAAAACAGTGGGTTCCGAAAGGCATTGTTACATAATTACTGGTACTGTCCCAAGTGAAAGTTAGGACAGGCTCTCGGTTTTCGTTTTTTGTTTTTTTTTTTTATATTGGAGTATAGTTGATTTACAATGTTGTGTTAGTTTCAGGTGTACAACCAAGTGATTCAGTTATACATATATCTGTTCTTTTTCAGATTCTTTTCTCATATAGGTTATTACAGAATATTGAGTAGTGTTCCCTGTACAGTAGGTCCTTGTTGATTATGTTTTATACATAGTAGTGTGTACATGTTAATCACAATCTCCTGATTTATCCCTCTCCCCAGCCTTTCCCCTTTGATAACCATAAGTCTGTGAGTCTGTTTCTGGACAGGCTGTTGGAATGAGCACCTTTGTAGTGTGTGTGACACAGGTCTCCAAGCAGCTAACCACAGCTCGGAGCCAAGATTTTTGTCACATTCATTTCTATTTTTTAAAAAAACGCATAAGATGAGAATAGTTATTAATAATAAGGGCATGTGCCTTTCTTACGCTCATTTCCTGTCCATATTGCAAGTATCTCCACTGCTGTGACCTCACCCTGGAGAAATCCCCGAAAGCCTGGTCTAGCAAAATACCATGACTTGGAGCCAGGCGGTCTTGAGTTGGTCCAGGCACTGCCGTTTAGTGTATAATTTGAAATAAGTCCCTTCAGTCTTTCTCATCTGTCAAATGAGCCAGCCTGCTTCTCTCACAGGATTGCCATCACTGTCAGTAAAGTACGTTCTGGGGGTAGAAGCCTACCTGAGCTAGGAGAGGTCTACCTTCCTGGGCTTATATAATCACATAAAGATTTAATTTCTAATAATCAGTACTTATGGGGTATTAACTTTAGGCTAGAAGCCACCAAAACATCTAAGAGGATTTAAATGAGTACAATATTACTCAGTTTTCATGAAAATATAAATGATATGCTAGAGTACTGAAGTTAAAAGCTATTGATTAGACAGGGGTCTTGGGATGGTGGTAAAGTACAGAGCATCTGAAGCAGACCATATGGGTTGAAACTGTGCCACTGACTAGCTGTGTGACCTTGGCCAAGCCCGATTAAACTCTCTGTGCCTCAGTTCCTCCTCAGTAAAAATGGGATAGTAATAATAGTTACCTCACAGACTTACAGTGAGGCTAAAATAAGTCTATGTATACATATATAAAAAGTGCTTTGAACAGTGACTATAAGTTCTATATGTGTTAGATGTTTTTTTAATTAGGGTTAAAGTAAATTGAGGAAAGTTTATTGGAAGGCCTAGAACTTGGGCAGGCAGGGTTTTGGAGACTAGGTAAGATCTGGGAAAAAAAGAATAGAATTAGAATGAATGTGTGTGGCACATTGAGCCCCACTTGATGGCAGAGGATTTGTTCTGAGTGTAGGGAAAGTAGACAGAGGAGGGGCCTGCTGACGGGGACTGTCGTGGACTGCCCCCAGCCCACGCCGCGGGTAGGACGTGGAACACAGAACTCAGATGACGTGTCCCAAGAATGCAGTCACAGCGAAGACTTGTGTGGAGCCAGAATGAGAGCCCAGCCCTGAGTCTTTTTCTTCGTCTTTCCCTCTTTCTCTCTTTCACTGGAAATGTCAAGTTGAATCGAGCTCATTTGCTCCTTAGGGGATCTCACAGCACAGTACAGTAAATCCCCTACATACGAACTTTCAAGTTGCAAGGATGCGAATGTATCATAACCCTATTACAGTACAGTACTCTACAGCCGATTGTGTTAGTTGGGCACCTAGGCTAACTTTGTTGGACTTAAGAACAAATTGGACTTAACGAATGTGCTCTTCGTATGTCCACTGTATAAGTGATAAATGCTATAACTGAGGTGCAGCCACAGAGCTGGGGGGCAAAAGAGGGGCTTAGGAAGGCTTTAACAAGCCAGCCGCCCCTGACTGGACTGGGTTGGGCACAGCTGGAGGAGAAAATGCAGGTTCTTGGGGAGGGCAGTGAGATGAAGCAGTGTTCAAGGAAGATTATTCTGCAAGCTGGTGCATGATGAATTAGAGGGTAAAAACACAGTGGACAAAGAGACTACCAGATGGTAATAATTACAATGACAACAATAACAGTAATGACGTCTCTTTTGAAAGGCCATCTCTTTTGAAGAATTTCACTCAATTCTTCATTGTAATCCTGCAAGAAAGTGCTGCTATTCCCATTTTACAGATTAGGAAGATGAAGCTGGCAGAGATAAAGTCACCCAACGTCAGAGTGCTTTGTTATTGATGTTGAGGTGTTTTTAAAAATACTTCTTATTTTATTTATGTATTTTGGCTGTGCCGTGCGGCTTGCAGGATCTTAGTTCCCCGACCAGGGATTGAACCTGAGCCACAGCAGTGAAAGCACGAAAGCGCCGAGTCCTAAGCACTGGACCGCCAGGAAACTCCCTGAGTTTTTTTAATCAAGAAAAAATTCTAACCTACAGGAAAGTACAGAGAAAAATACCATCTCACCCTTATTGCCATGTTTGTTTCAGATATATATTTTAAAACATAAAATGCTAGATAGTTTCCTGGATCCCCTTCTCAAATCCATCCCCGTCTTCCTCTCAGAGATAACCAATACATCAATACATACTCTTTTTTTTTTTTTTTGGCTGTGCCCCACGTTATGGGGGATCTTAGTTCCCCGACCAGGGATCAAACCCTCGCCCCCTGCAGTGGAAGCACAGAGTCTTAATCACTGGACTGCCAGGGAAGTCCCAAACCACATATACTCTTATATGAGTGTATATCCTTCATAGCAATCTTTTATTCATTTACTTCATAGGTAATTTATGAATTAATTACTTCATAGGTAATTCTTTATGTTTATAAAGAACTGATAGGACTTGGTGACAGTTTAGAACTGGGGTTGGAAGGAACAAGAAAAGGCACAGATTACTTTAAGGTTCTAACAACAATAGCATTTATAGAATGCTTGTCCCGAGCCCATCCCTGTGCCAAACGCTTTACATGTATCATCTCATTTAATCCTTACGGCAGCCTCAACAGGCGGACACTATAATGCTCCCATCTTGTAGACTGCAAATGAGGCTTAAAGAAACCAGTCATGTAATACCCATTTATTCCACCGGGTGGGTGGTGGAACAGAAAACTCCTGCCGTCTGACTCTATGCTTTAAACCAGGGGTCCCCAACCCCGGGGCCGCACAGCAGGAGGTGAGCGGCGGGCCAGCGAATGAAGCTTCATCTGCTGCCCCCCATCGCTCCCCATGACTCGCATTACCGCCTGAACCACACCCCCTCCCCAACCCCCACCCCCGTCCATGGAAGAATTGTCTTCCACGAAACCGGTCCCTGGTGCCAAAAAGGCTGGGGACCTTTAAACCATGTTTGTATTGTAGCTCTAATCTAGGAGAGTCACAGTCTCCTAGGTAATAAATGGTACTTTTATTTACTACGGGGGTGGGAGGGGCATCGGAAAAGAAATATCTTTTGTGGTGGATAGGTATTCTTGTCTGTACTTTTACGATGAAGAAACCAAGGCAAAGGATCCATTACGTGACGTCATTTCTCCAATGTCGAGTTTTTCCTCTTTGAGTGGGGCTCAGAGACCTGACTTTAACTTTGCTTTTGACCCAAGGACAATGTAAATACCACTCAGTATATTTCAAAATAAAAAAACCATACTTACAAAGTCAAAAGCATCATTAGGGCCTTGGCCTTCTGATTCAGAGATCCTTAAATAATGGTATTTTCCTTGGACGGATTTGCCTTGGAAATCCTTAATGATAGACTATAATCCCCAGGGTTAGAATGGGTTACAGCCCTAGTCATTGCTTGGCTGTACAGTGCTTCATACATTGAACATTTACAGGACCAGTTCTGTACTACAAAGGAAAGCTGAACTGAAGCATTTAGCCAAGTAATGCCTCAAAAATATCCTTCAGGCGAGTGTTTTGTTACTGGCCCCTTTTCTCTGCCTCACTTTAGCCTTGGAAACCTTGCTTAGGTGTATTGTTACTTGGATCTGAGTAGTTTACTAGCCATGAAATAGACAAATTGATCTCAGGCTCTCAGTATGAAATTCAAGAAGACTTTCATTTCTGTCAGGTAGATGGCATTCTGGGAATTGTAGTTCAAAATAATCAGTCAAAGCCTTGCCTTAAGACGGAAGATCTCTTTCTTCTTGCTTTTATGGGCAACCGTTTTAAAAGCTGCCTGACAAAATCACTTGAGCCCTACTCTTGTGTTTTGATGTTACTAGAAGCTCCTCAAAGCAATTACTCCCTTGTTCCTCAGCAAAGTCAAGCCACAGTTCGATGTATATGGATTAGAGAAAACCTTTTACTTAATGGAAATTGGAGCAGCATTGACTGCAGTGAATGAATCAAGAGTGGAAAGAGGATCTTCATATGATAATCCTTCAACCCCACTCCAGAACTAGCCCCATGACACTCGGCACTCAGAAGAAAGAGATCAATGTAATTCCTAGAGCATTAGAGATAACCTCTTCAGCTCTGGGGCCTTCTGAAACCTCATATGTTAAAGAAAAAAAAACCCAGAAAGCAGCAGTACAGTAACTAGTATATGTGTTTGATAAGGTCTTATTTACAAAAATACTTCAATATAATTAGCTACCATTTGTAGGACTATTTGCTTGATATATATTATCTCATTTATCCTTACAAGAGGCTCTTAGATATCGACATTATTATCCCCATTTTGCAGATTAGGAACCAAGGCTCTGAAAGTTGTGTAGGTGTACGTAGCCACTAAGTGGCAGAGCCAGAAATTTAACTGAATGAACTGTCTTTTAACATCAAGATCTGAGCCTCTAATTATAAGTATCTAGATAGGTGATCAAGGGCTGATCTGATAAAGGATTCAGTTTTGCTCTCTAGCAAAAATGAAAGGTGTAACGACTTCAGTATGGACTAAACTGAGGCCAGATTAAAATATGCATGTAAAATTATAAATTTTAATAAAGTAATACAAATGTATAA